CTGCAAATTTACTAAGGAAGGACTCATCCATGTCATCTATAAAAATATTAAACAGAACTGGTCCCAGTACAGAGCCCTGAGGGACAGCACTGGTGCCTGGCCCCAGCTGGCTGCAGCACCGTTCACCATCACTCTCTGGCCCGGCCATCCAGCCATTTCCTAACCCAGCCAAGAGTGCTCCTGTCCCAGCCCTGGGCTGCAGCTTTTCCAGGAGTGTGCTGTGGGAGACAGTGTCAAAGGCCTTGCTGAAGTCTAAATAGACAACATCCACAGCCTTTCCTGCATCCACCAGGTGGGTCACCTGGTCACAGAAAGAGACCAGGCTGGTCACACGTGGCCTACCTTTCGTAACCCCTGCTGACTGGCTCTGATTCCCTGGCCATGCTGTAAGTGCTGTGTGATAGCACTCAGTGTGAACTGTTCCATTATTTTACCTGGTATTGAGGTCAGGCTAACTGGCCTGTAATTGCCAGGATCCTCCTTCCTGCCTTTTTTGTAAGCAGGTGTCGCATTGACCAGCTTCCAATCATCTGGAACCTCGCCAGTGAGCCACGACTCTGGATAAATGATGGAGAGTGGCTTCGCAAGCTCATCTGCCAGCTCCCTCATCATCCTGGTGTTAAATCCCATCAGGTCCCATTGATTTATAAATACTCAAGTGTCCCAGCAGTTCTCCGACTGCCTCTTCTTGGATAGCAAGAGGACCATTCTGCTCCCTGGCACCACCTACCAACCCCTGAGGACAAGCTGTCTTACCACCACAGACTGAGGCGAAGAAGGCATTAAGCATTTCTGCCTTTTCCTCGTCTTTATTTACTAGGTTGCCTGCCTCATCCAATAAGGAACAGAGGTTGGTTATACCCCTCCTTTTACCATTAATATATTTGTAAAAACATTTTTTATTATTTTTAACGGAAGTTGCCAAGTTAAGTTCAAACTGAGCTTTGGCCTCCCTAATTTTTTTTCAACATGTCCTAGCAGCTCCGTTAAATACTTCCTGAGAAATCAGACCCTCCTTTAAAAGATGATACTTTTTTTTTTTTATTATTTTTATTTTTTATTTTTATTTCTAAGTTCCTTCAAAACCTCGTTGCTCATCCAGACTGGATGTTTGCTTCATCGACTCATTTTTCGGCACACAGGGACAGTCTGTTCCTGTGCCCTCAAGATCTCTGCTTTGAAGCACATCCATCTCTCCTGACTCCTTTGTTTTCAAGGGCTGTTTCCCAAGGAACTCTCTGAATAAGTCTCTTAAATAAGCCAAAGTCTGCCCTCTGGAAGACCAGCGTAGAGATCTTATTGATATTCTTCCTTATTTCACCAATTACCAAGAATTCTATAATGTCATGATCACTATGCCCCAAGCGGCCTCCAACCGCCACATCACCCACCAGTCCATCTCTATTTAACATAGTCGCTCCCCTGGTGGGCTCACTCACTAGCTGTGACAAAAAGTTATCCTCCACACACTCTAAACACTTTCTAGACTGCCGTTTTTCTGCTGTATTAAGTTCCCAGCAGATGTCTGGTAGGTTGAAGTTACTTACAAGAACAAGGGCTGATGATCCTGAAGCCTGCTTCCAGACAGCCCAGATACATCCTCTTCCCCCTTCAGACCTAGGTTAAAGCCCTCTCAACAAGGTCTGCCAGTTCACGAGCTAAAAACCTTCTGCCCTTGACAGAGAGATGTATCCCATCTGATTCCAGTAGAGCAGGCGCCGTAAAAATTGCCCCATGATCATAGAATCTGAAATTTTGCCGATGACACCAACCCTTGAGCCACTTGTTAATGATGACAGTTCTATTTATTTTGCTTACCACCCTTGGGCCTGCTTCCAGACAGCCCAGATACATCCTCTTCCCCCTTCAGACCTAGGTTAAAGCCCTCTCAACAAGGTCTGCCAGTTCACCAGCTAAAACCTTCTGCCCTTAACAGAGAGATGTATCCCATCTGACTCCAGTAGAGCAGGTGCCGTAAAAGCTGCCCCATGATCATAGAATCCGAAATTTTGCTGATGACACCAACCCTTGAGCCACTTGTTAATGATGACAATTTTCCTATTTATTTTGTCGTTTTTCTCTGCCACCAAAGGGACTGAGCAGAACACTACCTGTGCACCTGTCCTATCACCCACCTGACTGTCTGGTAGGTTGAAGTCACCTACCAGAACAACGGCTGATGATCTTGAAACGTTGTTCAGCTGCTTATAGAATAAGTTGTCCACCTCTTCATCCTGGTTGGGTGGTCGATAGCAGACTCCCAGTCTGCTAGGATATCAGCCTTGCTGGCCTTCCCCTTAATTCTTACCCACAGGGACTCAACTTCATCATCATTAATTTCAATACCTATGACATCCAAAACCTTCCTAATATAAAGGGCCACCCCTCCACCTCTTCTCCCTTTTCTGTCTCTTCTGAAGAGCTTGTAGCCATCCAGTGCAGTGCTCCAACTATGTGAGTCATCCCACCATGTTTCTGTGATGGCGATTACATCCTAGTTCTGCTGTTGCACCATGGCTTCCAGCTCTTTTGTTTGTTACCCAATCTCATCACTGCCAGCCTGGAGTATCAGCAGTGGGTAATAATCAGAGGGCTGAATCAGCCCAGAAAGTCTCTCAGTGACTTTCTTCATACCCGGGCCCCAGGGAGGCAGCAGACTTCCCTGTGGGATGGGTCTGGTTGAGGTATGGGGTCCTCTGTTCCCCTCAGAAGGGAATCACCCACCACGATTATCCTTCTTTTCTTCTTGATGTTAGAGGTGGCAATTCATTTTTCAGACGCGTCATAATTGGGAGGCTCACTGGGCAGATAATTTTCTTCTAAATCATCTGGCTGGCTCTCTAGATCCAGGGCCTCATACTTATTCTGAAGTGACACCTGGTTAGGGGATGGGGGGTGGGAGGGATTTTTGTTATTACCTGCCTGAACAGGGATGCATTTCCACTCCCCTTCATCTACCAGGTGCCCCTCTATTGCCTGAGAGTGAGAGGCATATGAGTCCTCCGACTTTTGGTGGGCGTCCCTTAAAGATATAAGGGCTGAACTCCACCAATCTATTTCCCTTTCACTATCCCTGATACTCCTTAATCTTTCAACTTCCTCCCTAAGCTTGGCCACCAGGGAAAGGAGGTCGTTCACCTGCTCACACCGTAGGCAGGCCTCCTCCACAACACACCCCTGAAACCACTGCTAAGCTCAAACACTCCAGGCAGGAATGGGTCTGTACAGACCCATCCTTTTTGGAGGGCTCCACTTGGTCACATACACTTGTACCAACCACAGATTTTGACCGGGTTAAAACCATTACTAAGAGAAAGCCCAAAATAAAATAAAGCAACCAATACAAGCACCTCAAACAACACACAGCACACCTAACTAGCAAGAAAACCTGTAACCCTACATGCTTGCTATGCATGTGTGAATTGCTGTGCAAACTGCTGTCACCACACCCCTGTTTGCCCACTCCCCAGAGGCCTCTTATTAGGAGTCGCTCTGGAATGAAGGAAACTCCACCTCCTGCTCCTGAATGGCTCACAATGCAAGCAGCTCACCTGCTCAGAGTTCTTATAAGTTATGGGGCTGCCTGATAAACCAGAGCTCTGCATTACCCAATGGTCATTATAGCATAATGGATTCACACTGTGATATGAATCATAGATTCACAGGGTGGTTTGGGCAGGAAGGAAACTTTAACCTCATCCAGTGCCACCCCCTGCCATGGGCAGGGACAACTTCCACTGACCTTCACTGCTCCAAGCCCCATCCAGCCTGGCTCAGCCCAGGGCAGGGGGGTTCAGGCTGGGGCAGCTCCAGCTCTCACCCACAGCACCCCCAGCTCCTTCTCCCAGGGCTGCTCCCTCTGCCCATCCCCAGCCTGGGTTGATCCCGGGGCTGCCCTCATCCAGGTACAGTTCCTGCACTTGGCCTTGTCAAACCTCACAAGATTCCCCTGGGCATATTTTAACATCCCATGTTGTTCCTTCTTAATTCCCTGTGCTGATAATTGCTCCAATTGGACTAGAGGATGGATGTGGCCAGAGAGATTCACCAGCCCTTGTCATAAGCCTGGTAACCAGCAAAACTGTTGGGGTCCTGGATGCCCTTTCTTTTGGACAAAGTGTGCTGGCAGATTGCTTCCTGGCTGTCCCCACACAGCCCAATTGGGAAGTTAACTTTCAGTATTGGCAGCACCAAATGTTCATAACTCAGCTTGCCAGGCTTCTGAAATAATGAAATTGGGTTAAAAAGGAGAAGTTTAAAAATAAGAGTCTGCAAGATGCTTTTTTGTTTGCTTCTGAGATAAGATAGGGGTTTTGGCCTGTGTTGTCAAATATTTCCCCAGCATTTTTAAATTTCTACCCTGCTATTGGTGTAGTTTCCAGAAGACTGCAGGCATCATGGGGGTTGGAACAAATCTGTGAATGTGAACGTTTGGAAAACAGGGGCTTGTGATGATTATGTTTATGCTTTGGCTTAAAAAAATGCTATCTTTCCAGACAGGCAAAATAAGCACTGTATTATGACTTTAGAGACGTCATCAAATTACACATCATTTGCTAGCAGAGCCAACAAATCAGAGGAAGGATATGTCCCCCACATTTAGGAACTACTGTAGATTTAGAACTGAACTTTGGAGCTTTTACTTGTTTGGCTCTGTGGTTTCCCATGTCTCCAGCTTTTTGCCCTTGTCTTTTGGAGAATGAAATTTCTACCTTCTCATAGATGTGTGTTGTTTATGAGCACAGATAATTACTGGCCTTCAAATTTGTATGGGGAGCCTGGTATTGTTTTCATCCAAGGACTTGTAGAGTCTATGGGAAGTAAAAATTATTTGTTTACCCTAGTAAGGTCATATCTTGTTGCTCTTGTATCTTTTAATTGTTTTTGATGAATGTGTCGTAGTCACATTTGTATGTTAAGAAATAGGGCATGAGAACTCATGCTGATAGACTTAACCTAATGAATGATATCAAATATCAACTGCCTCGTTTTCTTGCTAGAGGGCTGCAGTTTAGCTGGCAGAATGGAGAGGAATTGGCAAATTGGACCGGCACCTTTAATTTCACGGATGACGGAGCAGTGAAGAGTGGCAGTGACACAGGCACCAGGTACCAACACCCGAGGGAATGACTATAGAGATCTTTCTCTCCTTGTATCAACCACAAATGTGAGCACAGGCTGTATGAAAAATGAGATCTGCAGTGTGCTTTTTCTGCTTGGCACTGCTCCCCACAGTACTGAAGATGTCAGGGGTGCCCAAGCACTGTGCTGTTTTCCCCTTTGCAAGCCTTGGGAACATTTTGGAATATGCCATAAGCACCCATGAAGTCTGCAGGAGAGTGGTTTCTGTGTTCAGGCCTCTCCCATTTCCCTACCAATGCTGTGTTGTGGTCAAGGTGTGTCAAGGTGTGTCAGTATTGGAGAATGGGACTTTGGCAGAGAATGTCCCAACATTACGATCTTGGTGCACGTAGAGCACACTGGGGAATGTGGTCGTTAGAATAAAACATGTGTTCCATGAAAACATAGTTTAATTTAAATTCTTTTCAGGGCCTAGCAGGGGAAAAGTGTTCTGTCAAGATCATGCTGTAGTATTTCCTTTATTTACAATATCTGGCAACAAGAGAAGCACTGATGTGCTGCTGCACTCTTTGTACTTCCTGGTTTGACATGGGCTCAGGTGTCTGCAGGGTCATGTGCAGAGTCAGAAAACTGGCAGCAGTTTTGCCTAAAGAACTCCACAGCTGTCCCAGGCCATCTGCAGAAATCCAGGCATAGGTGTAGGGTGGATATCTGAGCTCACTTCCTGGAACAACAGTTACAGGAGTTTAAAAATCCTGAGTCGTGTGTAGCATCAAGTTCAATAAGCAGCAGGGAAATCTTAAAAAGAGCTGTAAAATAAAGAGAAAACTAGAAACAATTAAAATAACCTTACACTTAGTACTTGTGTATAAAAAAACTCTGGGTAAATTGCCCGTTTTATTTTGAATATCATAATTTTGTAGCCATACACCACTGCAGCTGTGGAGCTGATAGCACTTCAAAGGCAAGCAGAAGTTGCAGAGTCTAACCTGTCAGAAATCATCCTGTCACTGAACCACAGCAATGCTGCAGTTCCTGTTCAGGCTCTTGCTGTAATGTGATCCTGTACGAGTGCTGCCTGCTGCTCTGCTGGTTGGTCTTGTAAAGGTTCTTTATAAGAGCAACCAGCCTCCACTGCAGTTTTTCACTTAGAGCAGGGGAAAAAAGGTTCATGTGTACATGTGTAGGTGTGTGTATCTATCTTCCACTCTTGTTGCCTTTTCAGTATCTGCATATATAGTCTGTATTTACAAAGTCTTCAGTTTAGACGCTTGGCATATAAAAGAACTCAGTGTGACACAAAGACACACATCATCTTGAAGGCATGAGAAAACAAACAAATATAGATTTCCTCCTCTAGACACCTTTGACAGAGACAATTGAGCCATCATTGATTGCATGACTGGAACCAAAAGCCTTGAATACAAAAGACAGAGTCATGAGGGGCTGAACCACAGTGCTACTCTCAGTCTCTTCAGCCTCTTCAAGCACAAAGAGGTTCAAGGTGCAAATGTTTTTTACACAAACAAACCACACAAGCTAGATATAAACAGGAAAAAGTTATAATATCAATGAAGAAAAAAGTGTATTTCAAAGCCTGTGCTATGTGATATGTCAGTGACTGTATCTCCACTGCCCAGGCTCCCTGGGGAATGGGCACAGCCTCGAGGCTGCCAGAGCTCCAGGAGCCTTTGGATGGCCCTGCCAGGGATGGGAATGTTGGGGGGCTGTGCAAGAGCTGGGCTGAGTAATCCTGGTGGGTCTCTTCCATCTCAAGACATTCTGTGGTTCTTTGTTACTGGCAGTGGAGCTGAAAGCTTTTCAGTCAGGGATAAGTCTACCTGCAACAAATTTCACACCCAAGTGTGTTAGAGATATTATTTATCCCTTTTCCTACTGTGTGGAACCTGGGAATAGAGGAAAATAAAAAAAGTACTTTGTAAGTGTGGAGACGAGACTGTGTGGTGACTACTGCAGAGCTGTGTCAAAATTGTTTACTGTTTACATTTGATCACCTTTCTGACTGTGTTGTCACCAGACATCTCCTGAGAGTCTTAATCTGACACTCAGCTTTATGCTGTTGATATAAAATAAAAACAAGTCTTCCTCTAATGAATAATTCTTTCCACTGAATGGAAAACTTGCAGACTACACTTCACAGAACTGATTTTATTTGTATATATTTACAGGACTCCAGAGAGATGTCTGAAGTGCACAAAGCTAATTGTATGTCAGCATAAGCACACAGAGTACATTTCACTGCATAGCTCTGCAATTTGCTGTGCCATCACCTTCTTGTAAAAGGTTTTGTGTTCAAAGATATTAATTGAAATATATATGAATATGATTTTCATTAACTTGTACCATTTATATATATAGAGACATATGTTTATTCATGCATATGTGGTATCAATTTGAACATATTCTAGAACTACTCTTTATCTTTTAATTACATAACTTAATACAGGGTGTAGAGATGCTGACAACTCATCCTGTAGGAGTGAAGTTTTAGATTAAAATGAAGGATTTCCAAATCAAAAGCACACTGAAAGAATGAGTGCATTAGAATTGCAAGTCAGCCAAGCTTCATGAGAATAATGGCCTTAGAGAAACCAATGAATAGTGAAGATTAAACACAGCATAAAAATTATCAAGTAAGAAAGAGATGGTTATTATGTTACATGATTTCAGTAAACACTGGGTGACTCCTCAGATAAAATCACACAATAGTTTGGAAAGGACCTTAAAGCTCATCCAGTGCCACCTTCCCAGCCATGGGCAGGGGCACCTTCCAGTGTCCCAGGCTGCTCCAAGCCCCATCCAGCCTGGCCTTGGGCACTGCCAGGGATCCAGGGGCAGCCACAGCTGCTCTGGGCACCCTGGGCCAGGGCCTGCCCACCCTCCCAGCCACCAATTCCTGCCCAACATCCCAAAATGTGTGCCTGCCCTGTGGCAGTGCAGCCATGGCCTGTGTGCTGTCCCTGCAGGCCTTGTCCCCAGTGCCTGGGCAGCTCTCCTGGAGCCCCTGCAGGCCCTGGCAGGGGCTCTCAGGTGTCCCTGCAGCCTTCTCTTGTGCAGGGGAGCAGCCCCAGCTGTGCCAGGCTGGCTCCAGAGCAGAGGGGCTCCAGCTCTCTGATGGCTGAGGTCTGAAATCAGACACATTTCTCTCATTGAGCCCTGTCTGACAGCTCTGCTGTGCTGGGGTAACTCAGCTAACCCAGGTTTTCATCACAGTACTTAAGACAGTTCTTCTGACAGGGTAGAAGCAGTCCATGGAAATAAAATCTTGTGTCACGTATGCAGTGCAACCAAGAGTCTGGGTCCCCTCTGTGCCATCTAACACTGCTCTGGGCAGACACTTGACAGATCCCGACTTGCTGGACCTTTCTGGGCACCAGAGCCTTCATTTCAATTCAGATTATGTTGCTGAAGGCCTTCTAGGTAGCAAGGAAATAATGATTACTAACAATAAGTAAAAGTGAAGCACAGGATCTCCCCAGAATCCATAGGGATTTCAACCAAAGGATTTCAACCCACACAGAAACAATAACAACCAGTTGTTGAACACTGGCTTATTTTTGATTATTGTGCATCACCCATTACTCATATTTCTATATTTTGCATTTTACTTTGTGCTAAGCATCATTAAACCTTACAGTATCCTTGTGGAGAATCAGATAAAGGGCTTTATCTAGTGCTGGTTATGACTAGTGATATACACAACCCCTTCCCAGATCCCTGATTCTTCTGCTCTCCTTTTAATATGTTTTGCAACTTACTGGAATTGTGAGTTGTCATGCTTAAATAATTTTTCACTGGCAAGAAGCTGCCTTAATGACAGGATGACTTATCTGATCTGCCGTATGAGTTGGTTTATGTTGTTCCCTTCAGTCTACTGGAGCTGCAGATAAGATTCAATGTAGAGCTTTTGTGATGAGACCACAGAAGCGTTTGGTGGGTGAGAGGAGATCATACTTTAAGACCTGTCAATTTGTACACTGAATTCTCTAGTATGACAAATCTGAAGCTTTGTCCCCACTGGCTATGAAATAAAAAGTAGAATCAATTAGGTTTGTCAAATACATATTTTACAAGAGTGAATGTGAGAGTTTAGGATTTTGCTTAAGTCACTTTGCTGAGTTCTTCATACAAGGATCCTAAAATCTAAAAACTACAAGGAAAAAAAAGGCAGTTGCTTGCAATAAGCTAAAATGTGGGGTTTAAGATGTCATTGATGTATAAGGATTGTCATGAATTTTGCTATGCCTTCTAGGTGGGTGGTCATATGGGTAACAACATCAGCAGATTATTTCAGTAAGAGTGAATGGGAAAGGGCTTGATTAAAACACCCAAGAAGCAGTTTATTAAAAATCTGTGAGTTTTGAAATGAAATTGGGAAAATAGGGCTTCCTGTAACATACTCCACTGCTGCTTGTCAGGAGACAGCATTGGTTTGGTACAGCAAAAGACAAGAAGCAACCAACATGTCCCTGCAACTCAAATTCAATGTAGTCTGCAATAAATCATTCACACACTGCACAGTGGGAAAACCTCTAAATGAGGATGGGTTTCGAGAGGACCTGGGAAGCACAGGGGGTGGTGGTATTGATGGGTTCCAAGGTGGGCTTATCTCCAGGGAGAAGCAGGAGGCAGCCTGGACTTTGCTGTGCCATTTCGGGCTGTTTCTGCTGGAGCTCCTGCTGCTACACCCACGACTGCTGCAGTGGAGCTGTGTTTTGCAACTTACTCTGGTGCTGTGCTAGGCTGAAACCACGGAGAGACTTGTGGCCCAAATCGGTGGACAGATGGGAAGGGAACAACGTGTCTTTGGCAGGAGTGGATGTTTGGTCAATTCACATTGCTAATGAGGTAATGAGCAGCAGAGCCAAGCAATTCCAAGTGAGCTGTGTGTGGAGACTTGGAGGTGGGAGATCATAATAAGAATGGCAGTGAGCAGCCAGTGACAATTTGCCAGGAGCTTCCATGGTTGTGATGAAAAATATATCCTCAGGGCATCACAACAATC